CTTCGTCAACTGTACTGGTCCATTCATCTCGAACGAGAAGCAGGTTCGTGGTGCAGGATCACTTTTGCCTAAACCCGTGTTGAGCTGTTGAGGGAACGTTGTATCTTTCGAGATGTTCCATCAGAGAATGACTCCATGACCTTCGATCAAACCGGAAACAGGGTTACAGGTCTGTAGTTCGCGGGGTCACTACGAGAACCACCTTTGTATATGGGCGAATGACTCCTTGTTTCCATGGTTCGGGGAGTGTTGCTTGGTCGAACATTCGTTGAAACAGAGTAGCTAGCGGTTTGGATATATGATGTGCCAAAAAGATCAGAGATTTCGGGTGTATGTTGTCCACACCCGGTTTTGCATTTTTTCGCAAAGCCATTAGTTTTGCTTTGAAGCTTTCAGCAGTAAATGATACGTAGGTCGGTGAAGGATGTGGTAGATGATACAACCGTTGGGGTAGTTGTAAACCTCCAACCTGCGGTTCTGCGAATACGTTGAAACAATGAATTTTCAGCGTTTCCGCTGCTTCCGTTGGAGTGGCTGCAACTCTTCCAGCGCTACTTAGTACCGGTATAGTAAACTTTACTTTCCGAATGGAGTTGACGTGTTGGTACAACAGCTTGGGGTTAGAAATGAAATTTTGTGCTAGCGGCTCTTGGTATTTCACTTTATTCTCGCGAATCAGCCTGGTGCAGTGGTTCCTCAGCATACGGTAATTACTCCATGTGACAGCATTCGGAAGATGATTATAATCTCGCCAGGATAAGTCCCTCGCCGATAGCCATTTTCTTGTGCCGCTTCAAATAGGTGAATTTAGGATGCCGGATTTGGTGATTACTCTAGTTTTAGTCACGGATGTTGTTGTATTTGTGAGATTGTCAATAAATTTCTTCCATGCGACCAATGGATTAGCTTCTTCGTCACAAGAAACCTACTGAGGAGAGAGCGCCAATTTATTCAACATGTGTAGTCTATAGGTCTGTGCGTGTTACCAGAGGAACTTCCTTGAATCGATGCATAACAGACGTATTTGAATGTAATTACTGCATGATCGCTACGTCCTAGGGGAGAAGTCACAGTGACAGACTCTACCATCAGCTCCTCATTGGTCAACACTAAATTCAGTATGAACGGTGACTGTAGGTTGCCAAACCTAGTGGCCACCTTCACATGGTTGTATAGTGGATGCGAGTCAATGAGCCGTTTGAAATAATGTTCGAAAAATGGACGGACGGTCGCTGATTTGTTGAGATTGGAGCAGTTGAAATCACCCATAAGGAGAACATGGGTGAATTTTTGTGTAAGAATGTGTGACAGTTAGTAAAAGCATCTCATTGGCCGTCTCCGGGGATGATGGGGGACGATAGACTACACCAATCAAACAATCATCATGTTTGGACAACTTCAACCTGCACCACAGAGTGTCCGGTGTCGAAACGGGAGGGTAGATTTGCTCGCAATCAAGACTGTTTCGAAAGTAGAGTAAAACACCACCACCACGGGTAGGACGATCGCTTCTGAGTAGAGACATCTCTGATAAAGACAACTCGGAGTCCGAAATATCAGTTGTGAGCCAAGTCTCTGTAACAGCAATAATATCCCATTGACTAGATATAAAACGTAACTTCAACTCTGGAAATTTGCCGAGGAGTCCTTGAGCATTAGAGTAGAAACAGTTTAGGTACTGTCGGTATAGAAATCCGCTTGGGTAGGAAGTGGTATCTCGGTCGACCCCTTCTCGGTCGGCTACCATTCGTTTTTTAGCAGAGGAACTCTGGTACTTTGGACCACGGGTTGCGTGGCGGAGTTCGGTACCTGCATGTAGCGATCTGGTGCATCAGAAGGGTTCTCCAGATTTGGTTGTACTTTGAGCCCGGGATTGAGTAGGGGTCTCACACGTAGTTCTGGAGGCCCTCTGTTCTCTCTTTCCAGTCATAACTGTAAGGCTGTGTTCGCCATTTCTGGAGTTCCAAGGGTAACTTTCATTGATGTACGTTGCCACACCGCCTCCAGTTTTATTCCTGGTACGTTGTCTATCCTGCCGGTAACAGTCCAAACGATCTATTTACACGAGAGCATCCGAGACCTTCTTGATTTAACCGGGTTTCTTATATGCATACGACACATGTGTTGGAATGTATGCGTGTGTTCAGTGAGGAAGTTAAATCCGAGATCTTTGCGAAGAGAGAGCGAACATTGTTGGTACTGACCAATGACGGCACGGTCATCTTGGCAGGAAAGATGCTATTTAGAGCACACTGCCATCCAGCACACTTGCGCTTCTTGATCCAAGCATGATTGCCATATTCTCCAAGCATATTATTTCTGTGAGGCACAGTATTAACAGATTTCAATCTGAACATATCTTGACGAGAGTAGGTATGGGTCCGGAACATGTTTGACATCGAGATAATCACAAAATCCAGTGTGATGACGAGCACACAAAACGTAGCGCAACCAATCGAAGGGCGCGCGGTCCTTAAAATAAGAAGAAAGTAAAAAGACATTTATTTATTTTAACAGGTTCCATCCTTTTCGTACAGCAATTACGTTAGTAAGTGGGGGACTACTCGTGATTGCTTGGTCGTACGAGCTCATACTGAGAACCTCTGACAAATTCTGGTTGATTATTAGTGAATATGAACATCAACAGATTGTTCACAAACCTCGGACAATCGTTCCACCGTTGTGCACTCTGAGAAGGTGATATTCCAAGAAGCAGATAGTCATGTCACAATCGTTTTCGTTCCCCACGTGATTTGAGCATTGCAAACTGTTCTACTTGTCAATCGTTTGAGTCAGGTTAAAATATTGGTGCGCGAAACCGGATTTCGAGACGGAAACGGAATCATGTAATTCACGAAGCAATATCTCGTTGCTCCGAGTCCACGACCTATGGAGTGCTTAGCGTCCCTGTCGGTCTCATTCCTCATCCTTCGAACGTCACTATCAGGTCCCAGCATACTACTACTTTTGATAACATGGTTAAAGTAGTCGTCGTCGTCGTATTAGTAGTTGTCGTTATTGTTGCTGTTTTTTTTTGTGTCTGTGACTCGAACCCGCCAATCTCAACATGGTTTGTTGAGATCTTGACTGTCACAACAACATTGGACCAATATCTTATTCAAACCCTGTATGTGTGTGTGTTTTAGTACTCGAAGTCATAAGATCGAGTCTCCTGATAGTGAGGCTCACCTAAACACTAAACTCCGTTCACCACATCCGGATGAGTAAATTTCTTGCTGGAAAATGGACTGTGGACACCTGTTACTTGTCGATTTTCGACCCAACTTCATATTGAACAGTGAATGGTCAATCGAAATATCGCGCGCTCGCTCCCAGGGGGGCATCACGTCTGGTGTTGGATTGCCAAAATGAAGACAATTTGCCACTCAAGACAGTCTTGTGTTTAGGCATTTTGAAGATAATGGGAAGTGAGTGTGTGTATATATGCACACACACACACACACACAGAACAAATTCAAAATGAACGAATGTTCTTTACGTGCCGAATGCGTAAGGTATACATACACAAAACACTAAACGGTTGGTTTCTGGCAGAACACGTACATGGAAACTCATGATACACGGGGCAGCGCCGTGACACACGCATTCCGCATACAAACAGTCAATGATGTTAACAAAACAACTGTGACGGATCTGATATTTTTATNGGTGGTTGTGGTAATGGTGGTGGTGGTGCTGGTGGTGGTGGTGGTGGTGGTGGTGATGATGATTCATTAAGATCAGATGATGGATAAGAAAGTTAATCACGATCACTGAGAGATTAAACAAAACAGTATTTGTCACGTTTAATAACACTGAGAGTTATCGTGGTAATCACGATAGTATGGAATGTCTGAATACGAGAACCCGTAATGTACTGCTCAGAACTGAATTGGCTCCAACAATGTAATACACGGAGAATTGGGAGCAGTAAATGCTTATGTTTATTGATGGAATTCGATCATGTTTTATAGAAGGTAATAGTTCATATGATTGGTTGAAAGGCCGTCGTCCATTTACGTAACCGTTTGCACCGACGTATCATATGTGCTCACTCGGATGTCATGTTCNCTACCTGAACGGTGATTGTATGAAATAAACAGTACCTGGTCGTGCCTGGATTGCGGTCACGTAAGCCTGAATCACCACAACTCTCTTCCCTCAAGAGTGCCTCGTCAATCTGGCTCGCCTGACGGCTAGACCTGCGGACTGCAATCGTTGGCTCCGCTTGTTGCTGGCGACGTCCTTGTGTTTCGATTGGTTGTGTCTGCACATCTGACTGATGCAGCTCCGTCAGGTGGTCTGAGAGTTTTGCTAACTCAGATTGGTGGGTAGGGGGAGATTTTACTGTAGAGATCTTCTATGCAAACCATTCAAAGGAAGGGGTTTTACAAGATCGGTTTTTTTTGATGAAATCCTGAAGGAGTTTAACCATGATCGATAAGGTGATTTAAAGTACATATAGTGCTGAAATACTCAGCATGTCACAGTACTTCTTCAAACATTCAACCGAATTTAAATTGGAATGGTTAAGTAAGTTAATTGGCACAACATCACCATCTGCGAGCTCTCTTGGC